ATATAGTATGTACTAGTATGTATAAGTACATAGACATATATGTTACATTTTTGGCCTTACCCTGCACCTTTTCAGTTTCTGCTATGATCCCTTGTTCAATCAATTAATCAAGCTTTATTTATATAGAACCTGTAAAAATCCATAAAATGTAATTCATGTGCTTTACAAGCAATTGACAAAACATTCAGTTTAAAAAAGAATTTAAGCTTTAAAAATGATTTAGAGACCAATGCATGCCAAAACAAAGACAAAAAGCTTTATTAAATAAGATAAAATTAAAAGAAAGGTAGTTAAGAAAGTAAGAGATAGCAATAAAAGTAATGAAACTGACATGCCTAAAAAAATATTGTAATACAAAAAATATATTAAATAATGATGCTAATATATAAAATAAGCATAAATATTAAAACCATAAATCACAAAACACTACATAAAAGCCAGACTGAATATATGGATTTTTAGTTCACATTAAAAAATATTAAAATAAAAAATAAAAAACAGCATTATTTGGGTGCTTGAAAATTAAATTGTTGCAATTGAAAATATAAAACTGAAAAATGTTGAAATACAGATTGTTGTTGCTTCTAAAAGATTTAAGCTTTTCTAAAAAAATTAAATTATGATTATTTTAATTCCGGGTTAAAGAGTTTGAGTTTGATTAAAACTCAAATTTTGAGTTAGGTAGTCTGGTGCAAGGCCATGCAGTGCCTTATGAACTAGTAAAATAATTTTAAATCAATGCAAAAACTCTAGGGACTTTTAGACAGGCGTATTGTGTGCTCTGCTTTTGATCTTATTCAGCACTCATCCCGCAGAACTTCGAACTGACTAGCTAATTTATTGTGTTCTTCTGTAGACCAGAAAGGCCTTGCTAGTCATAAAAGAGAGATTCATTGATCAGTCTACCAGTCTAATGCACATAGGTTGAAAGATGACTGAGTAGTAAACCTAATCTCCATTGTACCTGTTGGGACCTCACACAGGTTGAAGCCATGTTTTTCCACACTCTGTGTTGAGGGTATAATCAGGTTTGAAGGTAGACATGCAGTAGGGTGTAGGGTCAGGGTTATCATAAGTAGAAGGTGTGTGTGCGCGCCTGTGAACAGACTGTTGAGGCCCTGGCCAGCGGTTGCATGCAGGCCTGCCCTGTGGCTTCATGCGGCTGCTGCACAGAGCCTGACATCAGGCTGCACATCCCCACTGTGGCTGGCCTCCTTCCGGCAGATGTCCCAGCAATAAGCCGGGGGGGATCCCACCACAAGTCAAGGTTGCGTAAAGAAAGACCGGTTCCCCAATACTGGAGGCCTGCACCCTAGCCCCTTCTCATGGGAAACAGTAAAGGTGTTAACTGTAACGGCATCCTTTAGAGCATTTTTTTTAGTTTGTTTTTTTGGAACATTTTTTATCACCGCACGTCAGCTCAGTCTGGGACATGCGGCTTCTCCTCCATGGCCACACAAAGGGGCTGTTATTGTTTTAACTGTCTCTCAACAGGTGGCTTTATATGTCACTGGAGGTTATCTCAACATTATGTACAGACGTGGCAGAAGATATTGGTTAAAATAACTAATTTTCTATGTATTAAAGTTCCAGTGTGTTATTTTTAGGAGGATCTATTGGCAGAAATAGAATATAATATTCATAGGTATGTTTTCATTAGTGTAAAGTTGCCTGGAAATAAGAATCGTGTTTTTGTTACCTTAGAATGAGCTGTTTTTATCGACAGGGGGAGCAGGTTGCCTTACATGGACGCCATCATGTTGAACCACCATATTACAGTAGCCCAGAAGGGACAAAACAGTGGGACCAAACACTTTAGATAGGAGGGATCTTTTTTTTTTGCACGTAGTTTCTCCTTTGCACTTTGAGAGGGAGGATGAAGCCAGGGAGATGCAATCTGCAACTAGATGCCACTAAATCCTACACACTGGACCTTTAAGTTGAAACTGAAAGAAGTATATGGTATCTTCATTCTTTATTTCCCACTAAATATTTTGGAAACATTGCTTTTGGTTATTGGTTCAATCCCCGGCTCCTCCCAAGCATGTCGAAGTGTCCTTTAGCAAGATACTGAACCCCAAATTGCTTCCGATGCAGTGTCATCGGCATGTGAATGAATGAGTATTTGTTTCCATTTAATGGCCTTGTGTTAATGTAGTGTAAAAGCACTTTGAGTGGTTAGAACACTAGAAAGGTGCTATACAAGTACAGACCATTTACCAAAAAGATAAAGACATCCATTTTGGTTACATAGACCATATTATTACATTTTCATCATAAAAAATGCAACTCCTGGATTTTCCACAATAAGTAATAATTTATTACAAAACACAAGGAAATGTATTACATATTGGGTCCAGGCTGTTTATTATTTATAATGTGGCATATTATTACAAAATACAGGTGTTCTTACATAATGAAGAGATAATGTATTACATTTTGTCGAGTTATTACATAATGTGGTGTTACCACAGAAACATTTTTAAAATAAAACAAATTCAAATGTTATAACCAAAAATATTGGTTCAGTTAACTACATATTTTGTAGCACAGCCTTTGGAGGCAATAACTCAATCAGGGTTATGTGGGAGCCAGTGGGAGCTGAGCTCCCATAAGAAGGGCTAGGAGCTAAACATCTGTGGGGGTCTTTAGTACATTATCACAACCATTATTTTAATTTTTCAAAGAAATAAGAGATTTGTTCAGTTAACGTTACATTAACTCCTATTCTCTTACATTTTGTATTGACTGCTTGCTTTGTATTTGATTTAGAACTTGTAAAACAATGCATCCTTCCATTAGTGGAGCACTACATAGCACACTGACTTTCATATGATAGCAAGCATTAGGCTATTATTTATCCATCTCCAACCCAACAACTCCCACAAAGCTCAGATTATAACTCGACTGCAATCAAGTGCTTTCTGTAACTCTGAACAAGTCTTCCAGTGGTAGTTTGGCCCACTCTTCTTAAGCAAATTACAGTTCAATGGGATTCAGATAAGGACTCATAGCAAGTCAGTTCAAAACGAACTAATGTTTATGTCTCTTTCTTAGGTGCTTTTTGTCATTGAATGAAATGAAATTGTTATATTTCAAATTTAAATTGTTATTTAAGATATATAGACTTCACTCTCTGAGAAACAGCCTCATCCTGCATTAGAACAGTTCAAACAACCAAAGATTTGTTATAATGTACTGAAATGGTGTAAGCAGAATCTTTAGTAAGTATTCTGGAGATTGTCTTTAAGGTTGAAAGTGCTATTTAATGGTTCCCTGTGGAGTTTCTGATCTCCAGTAGCAGTATATGGATGCACATGTATACCGGAAATGGTGTCACTGTTCCACTGATCAACAGGTGGTGGATACACACCAAAATATGCTGCAATACACCAACAAAGAGAGTGAAAAAAGACTGCAAGATAATGGATGTTAATACTGGATTTAAAATATATTTTAAAAAATCCACTTTCCAAATGTTTTATGAGGATGAATGTTACACTTATTGGTAACATCTCTACCACAAATGTCCTTTGTGTCATTCTGAATAATTCACAGATAGGACTGTCAGCAGTTTTAAAAAGGATTCTTTTGTATGTAGAAAACGACATGTGTTTGTTAAAAAGCTTGTGAGTTATGAGAATAATTTAACATTTTGTGTTCGGTAATTCTGTTGACACTGATTCAATGATTCAATGTGTATACTGTATATGTATGTGTGCATGTATGCACATACATGTATGTATGTATGTATGTATGTATGTATGTATGTATATATGTACTGTATGTACAGTGCCTTGCGAAAGTATTCGGCCCCCTTGAACTTTTCAACCTTTTGACACATTTCAGGCTTCAAACA